TCAAACATCCAATTAAAAATTTATATTAAGTACAGATGGTTTAGAAGTCATCTTAAATTAGATGATAAGATAAAAAAACTGATCTATGCATAACAGTTTATATTTTAGAAGGCTATATAATAGATTTGCAGAAAAGATTTTTAATTAAATTCGTAAATGTAATTACTTTTATCAAATAGAGGTATTCTAATAAGAAAAATACTTTTATACTTATACAGAATTTAATTTTTACTTGATACCTTTCAAAAAGTATATTTTTGAACTATTCTCTTACAATATCTTCAAAATTTTGTAACCAATATCAATTAAAGTAATTAAAAGATATATAAAATAAATGCTAAATACATGAGTAAGTTTAATTTAATAAGCAAAATATTGCTATGCCTTAATATTACTAATTATAATTGCTAAATGACAATGAAAACTTAATAATTAATATCACTGAGTCATTTAATTCAAGTAAATTTGCATGATACAATACTTTTAGACAGAAAAAATCGTATTATATTTTGAGAATAATTGTTTTGCTGAAAAATAATGAATGCTTCTTATTCAAGATTATGACAATTTTAATAGAAGAACTATAAGTATTCGTTCTTATTAAGTATAATAGAGCAGATTTACATTATATGACAATATTAATTTAACAATTGTGCTTGTTTGCTTGTTAGGGAATATGATCTGTATTATATGATTTTTAAATAATTACAAAAAAATGGCTAATTTAGAAATTTTTCAACCTTAAGCTAAATTATTAATGTTCATAGTTTTAAGAAATTTTTTGATATTGACTGAAAACGCTGATTGCGTTTCCATAAGTCTTAATCATACAAGATCCTAGAACTTTGTAGAAGTTTAAGTAATATACTTTACTAAATGTTTAATTGAAGAAAACATCGAAATAAATCAATGAAAGGAAAAATTAATTTTTTTATAGTATTAAAAAGGATATTTTTACATTTCATTTTTGGTTATTTTCTTATTTATGATTAAAATGATGATTTCTTTATATTGGTAACTCTAAATAGTATTGAAATACTCTCAATTTAGAGATCTTTTATAATTTGATTGAAGATATATCAATAATAACGAAAGTATTTTAAATTTTGGCAGTAGAGTTATGATTGATAAACGCATTTTACATCAAGTGGAAAATATGATAATTCAATATTGTTATTTAAATTTAACAAATTAATAAAATCTAAATTTAAAATATATAAGATCAGCATTTTTGTTTCATAAACACACTCAATTTCTTTAAGAAAAACCTTTTCATGCTTGATAACTTCAACTCAGATTCTTAAGATAATCAGATTATTATTTGGTAATTAGAAATTAATATTCAAATGAAAAGAACACTAGTTTTATATTAATTGTTTAGTTCTTAGACCTTTTGGTGAAGGTCTATTTATTAGCGCTTTTAATAAGCAAATAAAATTTTGGTTGTTATCATATAACTAATTTTTATTACCTTAAATTTATTAAGTTAGGGAATATTTATAAACAATCAAAGGGCATAAGAGTTATATTTTTGATTAAGTATTAATGAGAAAGGAAATAAATTAGCGTCTTGCGTGTACTCTTAATCAAAATTTAGTCTCTACTTATAAACATTTAAATAAGCTATCTATTTAAAACTTAACATGAAAAAGCAATAGCTTCAAAAAATTAAAATAAGACCTAAATAGAATTTAATAAGAAATATTTAACTACAAGATTTACATTTCAAATACTAAAGTACTTTCCTACAATAGTATAGAGAAAACTATTGGCCCTATTTTTTGATTACTTTAAACCAATTAAAAAATTTTCACTTCATAGTTCTTCAAAGCAAATTTCTAGAATTTTTTATTAAACAAATTAAATAAGTTCTTAGATCAGTAAGGAATACTCTAGTTCCTGGTCTATATCCAAATGCTCTTTAAATAGTTGACCCCTGTAAGATAATATGTTTTTATATTATCTACTACATTGATAAACATTGATAATATAAAAGCTTTCTTCTCTCTGTATTATTCCTAAAGAGATGATAATTATCTTTGGGTCTTCTGTAAGGTTATTATTGAATCTCTAATTTAGGTTACATTCCAAACATAGTAATCAAAGAATCAATCTATCTTATGCTTTTATCATGCTTTTATTATTTGTCAATTTTGATTATCTTTTTATTAATTTCTAAATTCCTTTTTCTCTCATAAATTCAAAGCAAACTTAAAATAGTTGAATTGACAACCTTCTAGATAGATACATATTATGTTAAAGGGGAAATATATCTTAGATATAAATATTTAGTTTGATCAAACAATTACTGGATTGAAATTTCAAGGGATAAATGCAATTTTAAAGGGTTTTTATAAAGCTAATAATTATTTATAATATTAAAAGAAAACTTTTTAGTTATTTACATAATGCCGTAAAAATATAAATATAAATATAGTAATAAGAATAAGAAATGATCAACATCAAGATTTAGTGATCTAAATCTATCTGATTATGCAATATGATAAGTAAATTTTTATTATTGAAGAATCAAATATAACAAATTGGCATATGAAATAAAAGATTTAAACTTAAGTCATCGAATTTAGAATTTGTTTCAGAATTAATAATTTGTTTACATATTAACCATTAGGCAGAAACTTACAATTATATACATTTATTAAAAAATTACGGAAACTCCAGTTAAAGGAGGTAATTGTTACAGTTATATCAATTCAAAAAATTTATTTGTTTTAAAGAATGGTTACCATATGAATTTTATAAGATTATTTTATTCAAAAAATCAACAAGATTCTTAGTGCTCATTAGATTATCTAGAGAGTTTGGTTAAAAATGATATTGGGGTTTGACTATTAAGGCATGTAATACTTTTTTAATATTCATGCATTCATTTTTAAACTCTCTTTTCATCAATTTTTAGCATAATTGTTTGATACAATTTTTAGGATGTCTTGTATTTTGATCCTTTTAACTAATTTAAGCAATAAATGTACAGTCTTTAATCTACTTTATAAAATCATAGTTATAGTATTTGATTCATATTTTTTAAATAGATAAGTATAACATAAAAATAAAAGAGTTGTTATTTTTACATTAATTTATCTTACTAGTTTATATTTAGCATATGCTCGAATTTTGTCATATATTTTAGATTCTTAGATAATAATATTTTAGGTAAAGTCTCATCAAAAGTATTCTTTTATTAATATTATTTGGTTTGATATTAAGTAAATATTAATTTATATTTTATGGATGAATTTTTGAGATTCTTCTTTTTAAGAATAATCTTCATTTTATAATCTAAATGACAAAATTCTATATAAAATGTGTTATCGCAAATTCCAAATATAGGATCCTGCCAAATAGATTAAAGATCTCCTCTACTAAATTAAAATTCCTAAGATAATTTTTTTCATAAAGATAGATTATTTGAAATTTAATTCATAATCGAAGATAGATATTAAAGTAAATAAATATACTTCTTATGTGAAAAATATAAATTTTATTTTGATAATAATTTCAATTCATAAAAATGAAATGATACAGTTTAATCATTCCAAAATTTTAAATAGTTTCCATCCTCAGTAATATTTCCATAATTTTTACAAGATCTTCAGTCAATTGGTTGACTTTAAACATTGAATGATTAATTGCATAGCTCAAGATATTAACATATTAGTTATGCTTTATGATAAATATTTACTTCGTCTTATTTTGAATAGAAGGATATAAGGATTATCAATCTGTTAAGTCTAAATTCTTTAAGTCTATTTGCTACTCTTTTTATGTCTACGAAATTAAATATTTGAATAAAACCTTAATTTTCTTGGCACCAAGTAATTATATCTTTATT